GGAACAAGCATTCCTCTCCTCATAACAACTTATTTTCCTTTATCTTGTTTCCTTCCATCTCATTTAATGGTGTCACAGATCCTCACGAGAAAAATGAAGGTTACAACTGCAAATAATTTGAAAAGTCACTGTTCTCAAAACAGAGGTGCACCTTGATATTTCTCCTGTACAGAGCTACCAGAGGCTGTATACTGCAAGCTCAGCTACGTATCTTCTTCCAAAGACAACATGCTCCCCGGCTGTTCTCTCTCTGAAAAAGGAAGCTGCACAGCCGTGGGCCACTTTCTAAAGCATTTTCCTTAAATCAAGCTTCACTTTGCAGCTAAACTCTAAAGCTCTTACCAGACGGACGAGCCTTGGATCAATAAAGATCACAGAAAAGTGGCTTTCAAGACAACAGTGGCCCAGAATAGCAGCAGCCCATATTATAAAACAGAGCTGACAGTGTAACATAAGCAAAGTTAGTAATTTGGCTCATGGGGATGATGAGTCCACATTACTAGGGTTAAGATTAAAGACAGGCAAGTAGAGGATCCTGCTTGAACCCAATGAACAGAATTTTAGTATTCTAAATACTGTTTCAGATGCATACATAACTGTAAACTATTTAGCTCCATATTAACTCAGGCAAAATAACAGGAAAACACCATACTGGATGCAAGTGATAACAGATTAAATGAATAAGTGTAGTAAATTAACACAATTTCACAGAAATCTGTCCTGAAAAAACACATCTGGGAAAACTACGTGGGTCTGCTGACAAACTAAAACTGCAGGCATTTCATATCTGTGACATGTGAGGCTTTATGCCTTGTAATATTCTGATTAAAATCAAGCACTGTACATACATACAAAAAATAGCTCATATATACTAAGTATTAACAGGCACCTCCAAGGAGTGTTTTCATGGGAATTCATTGAATGATGCTGGGTCTAACGCATTTTGGCACAGATGCGTGCTAAGCCCCCCTCTTTGTTTTCCAGGAAGTAAACGTGAAAATTGAGGCCGACATAAAATTAGAGAATTACAGGACAACACCAATATTAGTCTAACTGTAAGCTATAATTAGCACACAGATGGTCACAGCTTGAGTTAGAACACGACTGTTCAAGTAACCTAGGCTTTAGACATGGTTAAATATTAGGTCATGGATCTAGCTTATCTACAGACTGTCCTAAAGACAACTGTGACACTGAAAATTGTGTAATGAGTACAGCAGACATAATGAATTCAAAGCTTAAAGCTGTAAGACCTAACACTACTGTGGGGTGTATACAAAAGGGAACAGTAAAGTCAGGCACTACTAGTCTTTTGTATACGACACTGATGAGACTAACCTTGTCACTGTGATCTGCATTTTTTTTTTTTTTCTCCAAACTGGAGCGCAGGAATAAGATAAGAAAGAAGTTTTTGATTAGCTAAGGTAACACTTCACAGTGAGAAGCCTGAACAATGCAGTGCATTCAGTTTGCCGAAAAAGCCTGAGGAGCAGCTTGGTGGCTCTGACAATCCTTTGATAGCAGCCTGAAATCAGATAGCTGGAACTGCACTCACTGACATCAGCCTGCTCCACCTTTTCCGATAAACAGCACCAAGTCTAAGGCAGGAGCATATAAACTACACATGAATCAGCTTCTGAACCACCAATTTTCAGCCCAGCAGGCAAGGCTCAATGGACAGAGCTAAAAATTATTCAATCTGTAATATCTGAGAAGATGACAGAATAAGTGTCTTCTTTCTGACCTTAAGAAGAAAATAATATGTGATGATTTCTTTACAGTAATTTAGAAAAAGTAGTATTATAAACATAAGATTTAATTTGCATTTTGGGAACACTTTTCCACAGTTTACTTTTGATCTCAAATACAGAACACTGTAGCAGTACATGACAGAGATGAGATACATTCAAATTCACCACGGCTAGTTTTTCATCTCCCCTGAGAAGGCAGTAAACTGCATTTCTAATTATAGAAGACAGGTAGTTGTGAATGAAAATGAAGAATCTCACAGGTTGCAATATTTTAACGGTCAAAGGAAAGATGACTTTGACTAGTGCAGATATCCAGTCTTAGACAATCTCCCTAATAGTTGAAACTGAATACAGGCAAGACAATCTCTACGGTTTACGTTTTTTTTAACCTACCACAGAGCTAGTCTGTTAGTCTACCACAGCCCCTCCATTTTCATGTTTGTTAGCATAAACAGAGTGCTCACTAAAACATACATTTCAAATGAATGTACATCTTCGCTACTCAGACTCAAGGGGAGTGTCAGTCAAGCTCTCATGTCTGAATCTACTACTTCTCCATCTCTCTCTACTGGAATCGTTACTATTCAATGCCGTCTCATAGTGCATAAAGTAGCCATCTGCCTTTTAAGATAAACAAGCCAGTGTTCTTAAAACAACAAAGGTGTAACACTAGTGCTCTGTTCTTTGCTCTAATTCTGTATTTGCTTAAAGGTACAATTCAAACACATCTATTTAGCTCAGCTACCACTCATCCTCAGATGGCCTTTTCTATTAACACAAGTTAAAATCAGCTGTAGCAAATCCAATGCACATACCCAAGAAACATCTAAAAACTGACTGCAGAGCAACCACAGCATAAAATCCTCTGATTTTTAATTACTCTCTTGCACTTCTGTTTGCGTTTTTTTTTTTTTAAATATCTAATCCCTGATGCATGTTTTCCTATTTGCAGATTCTGCAGCAGACAGTTATGCTTACAGGCTCATTGTTGAAAGAATGCTCATGATTCAACAGAGGTTTTGTAAACAGTCTGATTAAAGCCCTGTTTCTTTGGTTGTTTTCAGTATCTGCATTCCTCTCCAGGTAACATAGAAAAATATGTAGTTATTTCAAAAGAAAACTCACTAACATTCCATAGCTTCTCATCATAAAGTACCCACAATCAGCCACTATTACAGTCCCCAAGTCTCGGTTCTACTGATTCTTCCATCTGAATGCAAACAGCTACTCAATTTTAAGACCCATTCCTTTTGCCCAGGAAAGCCTTTTCCTCACACTCGGCTTCCCTACAGCTCCAAGCAGCAGAGGCAACACCTTTGAAAAGATAACACGGGCAAGAAAAAGGTGCCAGAAAGCTTTTCAAAGAGGTTGCCACAGTAACTAATCACAGAAACAGCAAAGAGATGACACAGCGGCGGCGATTTCAGCAGAGCCTGGAAGGAGGGGGAAAGGGACGCGGGGAACTACGGAAACGACACACTGCTCGGGAACCAGCGCTGGCAAACACCAACAGCAAGAAACAGCTGCAGGGTCCTGCCGACAGCCCTCCCACAACAGGGGGTGGTTTTCTGCAGGGAACGGGCAACACACCGGATTCTTCCAGCTTCTACTGGCTTCTCGTTCTCCAGCCACCTCACTCACTTCTAGTCTCTCCCAACCCCCAAAACCAGAATAAATTTCTTAATTAACGTCTCACAAAACTCTTCATTAAATGTACAACATGACAATTGTAGCCTCTGCATGGGGAGGGTGGGTATGCAGAGGGAGAAAAACTTCTTCTCCTCCCCCCACGAAGTGCAGATACTCTGCAGAAATCAAGAAGTAACCTTTCATATTCTGGAGAAGCACCTAAAACACTATTTGGAAAGGTATACAAAAATGACATTCCCAAGCCTCAAGTCTCGCAACATTCTTTGTGGGTTCTACTCGCTTTCCTAAAAAGCTGCGAGAAGTCAGATGACTGATTTATGTGCCCTTTGATAGCACCTAACTGGAAATGATAATTAGTCTCACTGCCTGGCTTATTCACACAATCACAGAACAGCCCAAAGTAGAAGGGACCTTCAAAGATCATCCGGTCCACTGTCCCATGGGAAAGCGACCCTAGATGACATTATCTAGCACACTGTCCAGTCGCATCTTGTAAACCTCCAGTGATGGGGACCCTACCACATCCCTGGGGAGGTGGTTACAGTGGTTCATTTCTCACTGCAAAAAATTCATTCTTGTATTAAGATGAAACCTCTCCTGGTACAACTTGCACTACTCGTTGCCCCTTGTCCTCTCCATGTGGCTCCTTGTGAAGCGAGAGCCTCTGTCCTCTCTAGCCACCCTTTAAGTACTGGGAAACTGTGATGAGGTCCTCCCAAGCCTTTTCTTCTCCAAGGTGAAAAGACCTAACTCCCTCAGTGTTTCCTCATAGGGCAGGTTCTCTAGCAGTTTGATCATCTTCATGGCCATCCTTTCAAGTCTCTACTCGCACAAAAGAAAGTCATAAGTTAGCCACCAAACACCAGATGATGTGCAGCCATGTTCTCTTCCATCTTGTCTTTGAGTTCCTTGCCATCTAACTTGGGGAAAACAATAGGAAGAATGTTTATGCAAAGCCTGTAAGGTACAGAAAACAAATACAACCCGAAGGACACGTTAAGGGAGTAAGTAATTGAGTCAAAGTACAAGTTAC